AGATAAATTTTCCAAATGGTCTGCTTCTTTAACTAGTTCCTTACCGTGCTTTTATCTACACCAGTCTTTTCACGTGAGTGATCAACAGCGCTTTCGCCTTTCCAAAGCCCTCCGGACTGTAAAACAACTTTGCAAATTCTTTCTCCATTTTAAAATACAATTAACTATACCTGTACACACACACAAAAAAAACAACAATCAAAGCAGTCCCTCCTAGAATCCATACAAGCTCGCGACTTTCTGATCTTCCTTGGGCACGTAGAAATCGGACAATTTAGGCTCTGGCGGCAGGGGCAACACGTTTTTACTGGTCAATTCTCGTCAAGCCTCGTCCACGTTTACAAATGTCTGCTTACTCGCGCGTTCTTGCCTCATGCGCTCATTTAAAAAATCCAACAGATGCATGCAATTTTCTTCCCAAGTCTGTTTTGCTTGTGCTAATTGCTCTTGGGCTAAATCGTGTCGTTTGCGCTCTTTGTCGACTTTATTTTTAGATAAGCTGAACCAGTGAAAGCCAATGCATTTACTATGGCTCCTCCAACCATCATTAAAGCACTCGCCATTTTTAAAATATGTATTTTAAAACATGGATGTAGAAATTAAAGATATACTAGCAGAAATGCCAGCCAATGAAAGTAACACCGAAGGCATGCTAGGTGACATGCGAGCCGACGTGGATCACGATCCAAGATGTACTTAACGAAATGAGGCACGAAACTTTCCACAAGCGCGATCTATTGGGCAAATATGAAGACTTCTTCTTTGCGTTATCTATTTTGTTTGTGATTTGTGAATGTGAATGTGGAAGTGAATTATAAACACGTTTTAATGAAATATGTCGAGTAAATATACAAAGAAATTGAACCCGAGTCACCGGCATAAAGTTCCTTGCGCTATCAAAGGCGAAAGACGCGAAGTCACCATTACACATAATCCAAGTACCATCGCAGCGGGTCATATGTTGAACGTCAAATTCCCCGCATTGGGTATAGAAGACGTTGTAGTCCCCGGTACCACGAACTAGACGGAACTAATTGGAACTAGACGGGCCTCAGATGATAATCGAACCGTTTACAATAATCTAGCGCGCAATTTGGTGCCGGAACTCAACATAAGTTTCCAGGACAACAAAATCGTCAGTTATCGAGATGCTGACGTATTTCACAATTTCAAAGAAAATTGGCTGCCCACGACACAGACTAAAAAATATGGCTTATTTTGGCCTTGTACGCGAAAACGTGTCTAAGTTGCGTTTGGGGGCAGCAGAGGCCAGCGCAGCTTTAAACAAAGGCAAAGACAAGGCGATCGCCGACGCTTGTAAAAATCGATACGCAATTACGCTAAATGTGCCTCTGTTGACGGATTCACGGGCCTTTTTATCCATTGGTGTACGTCAGCGGAGTATAGCATTTCGGATTTAACTTTAGAATACGAGGTCGTCCCTAATCGCGACTTGGTGCAAAGTTTGAGACAAAAGCACAAGGGCAATGTATACTATCTAGTCGACTGGATCCGCTCGTGGAAAAAGCAAGCCGTTAACAAGTCGGACACGCTGTGGAACATTGGTATAGATCAAACGATTAAAAGTTCGAAAGGTGTTTTGATTCTGTTCAAAGATCCGTCAGTTAAAAATCCACAAAAAAGATCTTACAATCCGCATATCACAAAAACGAGTGTCACAGTTGAAGGTAAGTCCAACCAATTATACTTGCAAAGGTTATCTGAGAACAAACACTTTTCCGAAATCAGCAAATTCTTCGGGAACTCGGGTACGGAATTAGGGAGCGCGGTGGTGAAAGACGTAAACTTAACCGGCGTCGACATGGCTAGATATTTGAAAGACAAGTACGGTCAGTGGCTAGACCGTCGCAGTTCCGATGACAATTCGGCCCACGGCTTGGGTCGGCCTCTTGGCGGCGGTGGAGACATTTCGATTCAAATGGAACGGGAAGCCGAAACTGCGGGGCCTTTATTCATGTATGTATTTTTGATAATGGACGTGCAATTGAGGGTGGAAGACGGCAACTTTAAAAGCTTGTTTTATTAATCATGTATGCAACTCGGCCCGATTTGTCTAAGTAGTCTAAATCACGACTGCCTTGTCTTCGATAAACTCGTAAGCCGCCTAATTTATATCCTCGAGTATACGCATCATGGGCTTTTGTAGTTGATTACAGATTTGGCGACCTACAATGTTATCGGCAGTTTTATCTCGCTTGTCGAACTTACAGAGGTGGTTTATTCCCTAACAAGTCGTGTCTTGATAGTCGTAATTATAATAAATGGGGGAATAGCATTGGGTTGCATCGGTACCTTCTTTAATCACGGGGCTTGAAATCATCAGTTTGTTTGAATCAAAGGGTCCGTAGGCAACATTGGGATCGATATTGTTTAAATTGAGTCGCTCGTGGTCGTCAGTTACGATGTAGATTTTGGTTGACATGGTTATGATTTTGCATTTTAGTTGGAAATTGTTTAGTTTTTCCATGGGAGGTTAATCGGCCGCGTCTATTAAATTTTCAGGTCGAATGTCTACTTTCTTTACATTTTCTACGTCGACGTCATATTCGATTATTAGGCCTAGATCGTATACATCGGCATCAAGCTTCGAACCTGCATTAGGCGGTAAATCGTTTGATTTTTTGTGCCTTTAATAATTTTTGTGTCGATCATTGACAAATACCACGTGATCCATTCCATCTAAATCGACGTAATTAACGCAGCAATCACAATTGACGCAGCCCAAACATTCGATACAATTATAGCAATAAAAACAAGCCTCGCAACAGTCAAAGATTTTTGAGTCTTCACAGTCGTAAGAATTACAACAATAAGCAAAATTTATACACTCGCCGCATTCGTCGCACGTCGAACACTGGATGCATTTCCAACAGTCATTACATCTTCCGCAGTCCTGACATTCCATGAAGTCGATGCATTCAGATAAACGATCGGAATTGAAACTGTGTATACAGTTAGTCGCGTCTACGACGTTAACAGATTTAATAGTGTCTTTGCAAGAGTAACAATTCATGTTGGTTTTATTGTTTGAAATTCTTTGTTTTATATGCCTGTTTCCATTTTTTATAAAATTTTAATCGGGAAAAATATTTGCTGTGGTTTATAAACTTTATTTCCGTTTTTGGTTTGTCTCACCAAGCAAATGTGATACCTTTGATTCTGCACGTCCTGTTTCACTTGCTCGATTAAATCACGTTTCGTTTCGTTTCCGTTTAACCAAACCGCGTGAATCGCGAGTAATTTAGCATATTCAAATTTAGTAGCAAATGTTCGGCTCATTTACTTCAATAGGAATCTTGGGAAGGTATTTTTCTAGAGAGTCGGGCCCTTTTTGTGTGATGTAGCCGGCAGGCGATCTTTTTCCCGGGGTGGGCGAGAGTTGATCTGGAGTTGGGATTTTGGCCAGCGGAGGGGGGGGGTCGTATACGTATAGGAGGGTTTTCTTGCGCTGGAACTGTCCTAGCCCAGTACTGGAGGACGTTCGTGAACCGACGCGGTCGGTAGATGGCGCTTCGTCTTATATATTGATTTTTACGTTTGCGTTCTACATATTTTACATTTTGCTCTATATCACAACTGTTCTGGCGTCGAGGTGGAGGCGCTTAGTTCTGTTTATTAGTTTCGTTCTATATTTATCATTTTCTTCTTATTAAATATTAGTTTCGTCCTATATATACTAGTTTTGTCCTACTCGTTCCGTATTTATTAGTTTCGTCGTTTATGTATGAGTCTTGTCATACTTATTAGTTTTCGTCCTATATTTATCACCTTTGACCTTTAAATGTACTTTTGTCCTATTTCTGCATTTCTTTACCAAAACATCTATCTGGTACAAGACATGCAGTTTTGACATGGTTGAGTAAACTCCTTCGTGCTCAGTCATCTGTGACAATAAATTTGNGTCATGTGAAAGGGAACATACATCATTATTTAATAAATGGTGGTTGCCAATTCCAAAATATTTAGCCATGTCCAAGAATTAAGAAATTAGTCTCGTTTTTTTTAAACACAGTGTATAATTTGCTTATTTGCTAATCTTATTAAAACTGGAGTAACACAGGGTCGATTTTTAGGGTCTCTTTTGTTTATAATATACATAAATAGCCGCCCTTCATGTATTACTGTAAAAAATAGCAAGGTGAATATTTATGCTCACAACACCTTAATTATGATTGATGGTGCATGTCCAAGTGAACTTCAGTCCCGCATGTGTAACAGATTTGACCAAGTCGATACCTGGTTAAAAAAAAAATCACAACCTTGCACCTAATAATGCAAACAAAACAAGCTTCATGGTTTTGGGGCACAACTCCCAAATTTAATAATTGTTCCGATATTAAAGTTGGTATAAATATTAACAGTGTAGAACCAATAAAGCACCTTGGTGTAATCTTGATGAAAAATTAACGTGGTGTGATCACATAGGCCTACAGTACATTTCTTTAAAGGTTTAAAGGTTGTACAAAAATTAGGATTTCCAAGATCAGCTAAGCTGGTGGTGTAAATAGTCCCCAGCTCTGTACAGTCTTATTGATAGCCTTTGCCGTCTTAAATTTAGCACATTTCCGCAACTAACATATACATGTACATACATGTATAAATCTACATGTATATGGACCATAAAACAGTGTGTGCCGTGCGATGGTGTCGACTACATGTCTGTGTGTATGACTTTGTGTAAAGCACGTACTGTGCTTGTGAATGAAAAACAATTTAACTGCTTGGGACTAATGTGCATGGGATTGGGGTGACTAGGTCAAACCGACCCAAAACACTAAAGACATAAACCAAATCGGAACTGAAACCGATCTGAACTCTCCAAACCGACCCAACCCGCCATCAGGGAAAAACCGACCCGAACCTACAAAAACGTAAGTGACCCCGAAAAAATCCGAACTTGCTTCTTGACCACTGGTGAGTCACTCTCTGTGTCCTCCTGAACTCCCAGGACCGTAACTAGGACTTTTCTTCTTTTTTTTGGGGGGGGAGTGTGCGAATCCTCAAAAATGCGGACCAAGCATAGGGATTTTTTTTGGGGGGGGAATAAGTAAACTCCCGGAGAGGGGATTGACCGAGGCGAAAAAAACGGAAGCGCGCGGCATTTTTCCCAAAATGTTATACAACAGCTCAAAATCATTTCTTGCCTCAAAAGCGGACCTATCAGTGCTGGGGGGGGGGAGCGGCGCATCCCTGCACCCTCCCCCTTGGTTACGGGCCTGACTCCTGCTATATGGTTGTTACTGTATGATCTTATTCCTGAAGATGTTCTGAATGAAGAACCACATATCGAACCAAACATGGCTAATATTCGTCTATTAGGAGTTTGCACTGACACCATGGCAACGCCAGCAATGCATAACCTTGCTACGCTGATGGTTCTGGTTCTTTGAATACAAGACCAACGCGGCGGGCGCAAGTACTGGTAAAATCCGTATGGTTATGTGGGCAACAGTAATGTCTTATATCTATTTTCAAAAGCAAGTCTGGGCCTGTATAAAAAGGGCACTAATTTCGTGCTCATTTATTTCAGGCAAATTTATTTCTCTATGTACACATTTCCTGAATGCAAGACGCACGCACTGTCAATACCTCCCTCCGTGCGCCCGAATACTTTACGGACGTATACTGCCCGTAGTACCAGGTGGACCAAATATTTTTATTTGGAGAACCAGGTCAATGGAATACACGCATGCGCACAAATGGCCTTTGGCGAAAAGACGTGTGAGCGGGCCATTGAAAATGTACAGGGGTGCGACTTTGATGATCATTTTCTCTGTTTTTTTTTACTTTGTTCAGTGTTTTCCTTTAGAAAATCCCATAAATTTAAGTGGAACTTTTAGTGCTCTGGTAAAAGATCTTCAAATCGTAATGTTTCCTGTGTGCCCGAGATCGTCTTTCTTAGTATGGCCCCCTTCCATCATTAGTAGTATAAACTACATGTGCATCGTTAGTGTTCTTGGAGCCAACCTGTGCCTTTTGTAAAAATCATCCTCCACGGTGGTCCAAAACAAATATATCTTGGTTAACATTGTTATGTAAAGTGCTCAATAAGAGGGTGAGGAGTATTAAAGACAGGGAGAGGGCGATAGGAAAAGTAGGCTACCATACACTGGGAATGGTTATCTAGAAAGCCAATTCTGTATTGCAATTAACATGGTCACTTTTCAGGGTAATCCATTCTACAAAAGCTATACTGTAACAAAAGAATGTTTCCATGTTTCAAAGGATCCAAATACACTTGTGCCTAATACAACGACTTTGATATCAATTCCTAGTGCTTCATTCTCAGTGCTGGTTGTTAAAGCTATCCCAGTTTGTGATCATCAATGGGGTTGCTTTCAGATGTGCACAGCTGGGTAGGCATTGGGCTGATAGACACAAACACGGGGGGGGTTACGGCAACATGTGTGTAATTAAAAATACTCAAGATTGAAACAAAAAAAACGAAGCAGAGAATTGTAATATTTTTCTGTTCACATTATAGTCTTTAGGTGAGAATGGAGGTTCAAAAGAAAGAGTACCCTGAACTCTTTCTTTGCTAGTAAAAACGATTTGTAAAATGGACCCTAAAAGTGGACTAATGTAGAACTGGGTATGAACATTCTCATTTGAGGGAAGTTACTTTGTGTAAGACTTTGCTTTTAACTGGAGAACATACAGTGTACACATACATCTAAATCATTATTTACACATTTACATGTACACGTAGTGCAAATCACATTCTCTTCAAAGGAAAATTCTGAGATGTCTTTGAATTCTAAAAATGACAAACTTTGTTTCGGATGTGGCTCATTTTTATACTTGATTCATTCCCTTGGGAGTCCTGGAAATCAAGCCACCAATGTTCCACGTTTCACCTCGGTGCAGATGTTTGGAATGTTTGAGCATGAGTTGACTGTGTCCAGTTTCACTTCAATCTGCTTCAAGTCTGCAGTAAACACTCTAAGGTTATGACACACATCCTGTGAAGGGACAGAAAGAAGCAGATCTTTTAGTGATAATTGCAAAAGAATACCTGACATGAATTTAACAAAGAAAAAATTATGCAGATATTCATCCTAACCTACACGTACATGAAATAATGAGACAGTTAGCATCAATTTTTAACTTCCCTCTTTCCAAAACTTAAAAATTTTGATTAAATGAAAATGACAGGTTTACAGAAAAATACTAAATACATTGTACACACACACATGTATTTTCCTTCCCAGATCATTTACATGTACTTCTAATGTAATCTTTTGCATACATGAACATTTACACTGCGCAAGTAGTAAATCAGTTGTCAAATCTATCAATTCAAGTCATTTTTCTTAATCTTCAGCATGTCACAGGGTGAGCTGAAATACATTTTTACTATCAGAAACTAGTACATGAGCAGGTCCTTATTACCAACACATGCAAACATCTAACTATACCCTCCATGAGTGTGTGGGGGGGGAGAGTACCCCTAACCCAACCCCCCCACCTCTCCCCCTCCCCCCCCAAAAAAAAGGAAAGGAAAGAAAAAGCTGAAGAGGGAGGAAAGAGGATGACAATCACAAAATTTGTTTGTGCAGCATGCGTACAGTGTGAAAGTATTAGAATTGCTGATGGCTAGCAGGACTGTTCCAATTAATTCAGATGTTTATCAAGTATTTGAATATTTATTTTTGAAATCAATTATTTATATGTTACAAAAAATAATATTAGTAGGGCAAAAATTCAGTTATTTAGTGGCAAACTGCATTCTAAGATATTTCAAAATAATTCAAGTAAACCATAAGGCAACTGAATTCATACAGTGTATTCCCAACACTAAAACCCCACATTACTTTTCCTTCAACTTTGTCCTTAGTTTTGTCAAAATATGTACATTTTGTGGAGAATTTGGTACAATTTTTGATTGAATGGAAGGTAACATGTAAATATTTGAATATTTAATGGTTGTTATTTGACTCAGCCTTTACTAGCAGGTGTAATACATGTAATACATGTAGATGTACTGGCTGTACCGGTGTGTGCCAGAAAACATTGGATATTGACTGCCAAATTGCTTGACTGAAGTTTTGTCAGTGAGGATGGACAATCTGTACCTGAATCACAGTTTGTGATTTGCCAAGCATCTGGTTAGCCTCGGCCAATTCCTTAGCTGATGAATGGAACACCCCAGCCACAGCTCCATACACAACACTTTGCAGACTAGCATTCCGCTCGCGCAGTTTACGGTGCAGTAAGGTGTCATATTTGAGAGCTACTGGTTCCTTTGGCAGAGACAACTTGCTCTGTGGGTCTGTCTTTTTAAGGAACTGTTGGGAACCTTCTTTTCTGGATGGAAAATCAACTGCAGAAAAAGGATGGCAAAGTAACCATGTTAACTCACTCCTCAATGAGATTTTAGCAAGAAACTCTGATGGACATTTCAAGTTGCATTGTTTATGTTGCATTATTTTGTCAATCATACTTTTTGTTTAATCATACTTGCCAGCAGAATGTAACAAGATTCACCAGGTCAACAGTTCCCAATGCCACCAAAGGCCAAACTCAACAACCAGAGAAAATATCCATCCATGCATGTTTAGAAAAGGCATGGCAAAGCCTAATTTCAAGATTTACACGTATGTCATGAGACTGGAAATAGGCCAAGACTGGTGCTAGTCTTCTGTACTCAATAGAAGATCCAAACAGGGGAGCCCCAACAATGCTCCCTTCCCCATTTTCATTTTAGAGAGATTTTTTTTCTTCCACTTTTTTTCAGTTGATTATTTAATGAGAAAAGAAATAAAAATTCCCTATTTTGATGTTTAGTTCACCTCCTTTTGGGGTGTCTCCTTTTCACAACTGTTGCTGTATTTTGTAATTTCTCAATCAACCACTACTGAACTCTGTTGTGTACTAATATGCCCATTTATATGCCAACTTCCAACTCACTTTTCAAAATTTCCTTGAAGTCATTCTTGAACTCAGTTGCTGTACCAACTACATTGTATGTTCCTGGATTCAGCCCTACCAATTTTTTTTTTGGGGGGGGCGAATTGTATGGTAGCTGCAAATGTCTCAAAATGGGCTGTTTATTTGGCAAAAATAAAAGTGCATCAAAGTGGAAACGATGCCATACCCCGCCATCCAGATCTCAATAAATACAACAAATTACTGCACTTATATGACCTACAGTGTACATGTACATGTGAGAATGACCGTCCCCTAACCATTTCAGTTGCTCAAGTTGATGTATTCAAGTTAAAATCACATTGGATTTTGCTGTCTTTGGTTTGTCAACTTACATGTACATGTAGGTGGCAATACGTATATGTAAGCAGTCAGATACTCGTACATGTACATGTAGTACTGTGTGTAGTGGCCAAATTTGAAAAATCTTCCCTCAAGTTCATAACTTCTGCCTTGGGCCCTTCCCAACTAAAGTGCTACAGTTGGGCAGGCCCAACTACAGCAGAGAGGTCCTGTGTGCATGTGTCCAGCAATGTGCCAAAGTCATATCATTTATAAATGTCATGTCATCGCCATTGGTCATAGGGCTAGATGAAGAGATGAAGTGCCACATTTTAGATGAATTGTCAAGTGTGAGACACATTGACTTGGATAATGTTGAGACATTTCCCACAGCCATTGGTTAACAATAGTTGGGCCAGCCCAACTGCAGTACTACAGTTGGGACTGTCCCAACTATAGTTGGGACTTATGCTATAGTTGGGGCGTAACATGTCCCGTTGCAGGCTCCTGCGTGTAATCTCTGAAGTACATGTACATTGTAAATGTACATAGTAGGCCTAAATGGTAGAATGTTTTTAAATGGCAGACTGGAGTGTTATCCTCTGCTGATTCTAATTTAAAATGGTCCCCAGGGCAATGGTAGGATCTGAATCTGAATTATATTCGACAAAGCCTCCATCAGGAAACATCACAACCAAGTTATGTACTGTACATGTACATGATTGGGTTACGTGTAATTTGGGGCATGGAGATAGACATGTCTTTGGTAGCTTATTTACAAGTAATCCACCAGCAATCCCAATTTACAGGATACCCAAGCTCACATGAAAAAATTGACCCTGTTTGGGGAAATATTCTTTCAACTAAATTCAAGGGACTGGTTTTATCCCCGAATAAAGAGACTTCTCCAACGTGCACCCCTACTCACCTACCTTTCAAAGGCGGTAAGCTATCGTGTTTGACTAAATCAGACACAGATCTCTTTGGTTTGGTATCTTCATCACTGTCCGTCTCCGAAGCTTCTCCCTGCACTATAACTCCAGGCTGAGAGCTCAGACTGCGCAGCGGTCGTGGCCGCGGTGACTTCGATGGGCGCAGTCCGGCGTCAGTCACCCCACCTGCTGTAGCTGTGTTGCTGTCGTTGGTTGTGCCTTCATCTCCACTGTTGTTGGAACTAATGTCCTCATCTGTATCTGACTCTTCTGCCTCACCTGACACTACAGACACAATTTCCGACATGTCTGTTAGGGCCTGACTGTTGCCTAATGTTAACTTGCTAATGTATTAGCATTAATACACGTTGAAAGAACATGTACACGTCTCTAGCAAAGAGTGGGTAGAGGGCTACGGTGTCGGTACAACTGACCCAGGGCGGTTTGCATACGTACAGTACATACATTGATGGAAACGTAGACATGGGACAGGTGCCAAAGTTCATACCTCCGTAAAACGGAGAGAAATGAGTACAGATATACGACGGGTCAATGTTCTACAGAGGCCTAGACTTAAAACATAAGTCCTGAGTGCGTCGTTCGGCCCTGAACATCATTCTTTTGAAAACTGTTCATTATGGACTACCGTATAAGCTTCAATCCCACCGGGAAATGATGTGCCGCCCCAACGTGTACACTCAACAACGAGGCCTCGCTTTGCAGTTTGTGCAATTAAATTCAAACCGTCGTCGATGAAGAACTCAAGTCAACTTCAAGGAGACTCTTTTCACCAAACTAAATTAAGGTACATCATGCATGTACGTGTATCTGCATCTATAGTATCATCTGCAAGTCATTTTGCTAATGATGCTGCTAACTTCACCTACGTTCGGTCCTCTGTGTGCATTTATTTAGTTGTGTGTTCGCACATGTACGATAATCATGATAGTGATGACGTATGGAAAAATTAACACTAGCACCAGCAGACCATGCAGGCGACACATATTGGCATTATCGGTGGTGACCCTGTTGAGACACAGATTTCAATGCCATTTCCCTGAAAGACCTCGTGTGTGAATATTAAAATTGCCAAGATTGGAAAGAATCTATCAAATTGTGATATTTAAAAGCTTTTGTGTAAGTTTGTCCAGCATGTCTAGAATCAAGGAAGAGGAAAGCAAAAATTTCACGATGAAAAAAAGTAACAATGTTTTACCCAACTTTTTATCTGCATGGTAAATATATTACAATTTTGCCAGGGTTACCTTTGAATAAACTTGATGCCACATGAAAGACTGTAACTCGTATGATCATGCATGTTTTAGAAGAAATATTTTCGAAGTAACAAAAGAATGTTCAAAGTTCTCTTAAGAAAAATAAAAACACTTTTAATTGTCGTTTCGTATTATTAATAATATATTAGCAACACATGTACAGTTAAAAATGACAGTTAGTGAGATACATGTACTGTACGTGTGTCTTTGGGGTTGTCAATTTGGGACAGTAGGCAGGGAGGTGCTGTTATTTCTCACGCAGTCAAGACATGTTCATGTGATATGGACTAGACCACATGGGTAGAGGTCAGAATTCATGATGCCCCATCTTTTCATACTGGCTTAAGTGTCTAGCACCAGACTGGAGCCAAAATGTATTCAGCCACAAGTAAGCTTTCCTGGGGAGATTGGCACCTAGAGAACGTGCTGACCAGTCCTCAGTGTATATATGTAGCTAGAGTCTTTCTGGAAAAACGAGTACTGGTGCTACACCCATGTACATGTACATCATCCACCGGTTCCAGGCTTTCCATGTATGGGCTCAATGACAGGCTTCCTTGAACACAGCTCGCCCAGGGCCTCCTCAAGAGAGGTTGTTGTGGAGGAGTTGGCGAGGGGCATATTTAATTCAGAACTTACTTTTATAGAAATTTTCTCATTAAAATAAAAACAAACCATTTTGTAAGCCAGGGGTTACTAGTTCTTAAGATGTGAAACTGATCCAATACACGTGAAGAGTTTCACTTTTTGTATATTACATTATGCGACATGCGTTTCCCCACCACCACAGGAGTTTGTGCAACTCATGCCATGATGCTGTCCTGAACATGTTTTGGATGCTTGGTATTTTTGTTCACTTACATGTAAAAATACTCATACATGCAGTGAAGAATGGCCAGCAATGTTGGAATGGAACTTGACTGTAAAGCTTCATCAAGGCTGAGAACTAAAGACAGCAATCAACCCTTGTCACATCCTGACAGTGAAACCCACAGGAGTCCAGAATTGTTGCAGCAAAAAGCAGTTCCAATATCAAATATGCGGAGCCAAGCAACCGAGGGGGAGAGCTCTGTGGAAGAGACAGTGTCTATCCCACCAGCCCAGCATCAGCATGCTGCCCTACCACGCCACGAGTTGCTTGTCTATGCTGGGTTAATCGTCTTCATCCTTGTCTATATGCATTGGCATCTTTACCAATTATCAAAAGGTACACCAGTATGCACTGATAACTTTTTGACAGATTTTTCATAATGATTCAAGTTGTACATTCATGTACATACAGGTACATACATGTACCATCTGCACATGTTTTGTTCACTGTTCAGATTTAGAACTCAAATTTTGAAATTTAAAGTCTACTTATAGTGGTCTCAATTGGAGGGTGTAAATCCTGAGTGACACACTATACTTTGTATATCCTATTCAAATACACAGAAAATCTGAAATAATGTTATTCAGGTATTCTCTACTTCATTCTGATTCGAGCAGTCACTTCTGTGTTGAAATGTTTGCTTATATGTGGCTGTGCATACACTGACTTGAAACTATTTGTAAACATACATATTCACTCTACATGTACATCTGTACATGTACATGTGTATCTTTTCCACAGAAAGGGCATCTGACTTGGAGCTTCTGGATGATGGCTTGTCAGTCTTTGGAAAATGGAAGAAGGTATGATACTTGTGCTAAGCATGCACGACTAATTTGGCAGCTGTGCAGTCATGTGTACAGGGTATGGCATTTACCAGTTTCTGATTACTGTGATGCGGGACATGATAATTTAAAATCTTAGGGACTCATGATACCTCACGTAAAGCTGAGGTACTGTGAGTGTGTGAGGGTGTACATGTATGAAACCACATGTCCCACATTGTGCCTGTGTCTTGAATTCTTTGTATGCACATGTACATGTATATCCTGAAGGTCTCCACTTTAGGTAGATTTTTGTTACAAGCATACACGTACAAAGCTAGGAGCTCTTCAAATCATTTTGTTGCTTAACTGAGTGTGACTACTGCCCTTACTGCAACACTATAGTCAGGAAGCAAAGTTGATAAGGAGCTCTGTAGTTTATGCACATCACTGCCTTCTTGATTTGCCTCGTAAGATTGCACCATGTTTGGTTGAATCGTCCACACCGTGGCAATGCTTAATTGTGCCTTAATTTATATAACAGGTTTTGCCCTTACCCAACGTACATGTACATGTATATATTAATAAACGCTGTATGCTCAGTGCTTGTCCGAGAGCTTGCAAAAAAAGTCACAAGCTTACTCAGGTGGGACTCGAACCCAAGACCTCCTGCTTACTAGTGCAGACATATTAACACTTTAAACACTCTTAACCAGACGCCTTAATTGTGCTTAATTGGTACAAACGTATGCCTTTATCAAAAATCTGTTCATCTGAAAAGACAGGTTGGCCAACCCTAATGTAGGTACATGTAAATAGATACATGTACCTAGATACATGTAACTAACTGGCACAGCAACCCTACATGTAGAAGTACATGTAGACTACTACGACTAAAGTACAGCAGAACTGGGGGAATTACAGTCACATTTCTTTATTAATTTAAGAATGCTGTGTTGAAAAGAAACTTGTTCTATTTCAATATATGCCAAGGCATTGATGGATTTCACATTAGCGCCGTCTGCGCATATCCGCATCGAAACCGAGGCTCAAATTGTTGAACTTTGTCGCGCGCCTGCGGAGTTGACACAGTACATGCAGTATCCAGTTTGTAAGTGTGACACCACTTCAATTTAAACCACGCCCACTGCACAAGATACACGACCATCGCAGGTATGTTAGTTCGTGTTAAATTGCTATTGTTTTTTCTTTTGATTTCACGTGTCAAGTCATTCTGGAAGACTCTTCAACAAAAATTTGCAGCCTGAAAAGTCTGAATTTAACATACATGTACCTCTATGTATTTTGTGTTTTGACTCCTTGCTTTCAATCGTCTGATCGTATTAAGAATTGAAGCTGACACACAGCCTCGTTTTCAAATGCGAAAGTGCGCAGAGCGACGCTAAAAAGCATCATCTTGGGATCCCTGTATTTCATTCCATTAAATGTATACATACTTGTACATTGTATGCATGTACATGAATATGAAACTGTTGTAAAGTTCTTTGTTAAGTCAAGAAAGAAGATTTTTCTACTTTTCTGTGTTTGTTTTTTGTTTTTGCAGGACATTTCACATGGTCAGTGGACTACATTTATTGATTTAATGACAACGCCATCAGTAACCATCTCTTATGTGGCATACATTCTGTTGGGTCAACTTGTTGCCCTCTTTGCTCCTCAGGTTTGTGCTGTTGTGTTTTTACAGAACGTGTTTTTGCTTTAAACCTCAATTGAGCTCCATGCATATGCACATAAAAGTGTAGTGTGTTGTAACGTTTCAAATTCCATTATGATTGGTTAGTTTGAACTTGATTTCCAGAAGAATAGAGACTTACACAGGTCATTATTTCAGCTACAAAGGGCTGAGGTGGAGGTACTTTGCATTTGTATTCTTGCTGGTGACACATATTTGCTTTTTGTCTTATTAGTTCAGGAAAGCTTTTATGTTGGTCTTCTCCGTACTATGGATTTGTCTTGGCTTTGGCATCCAGACTTTGGAAGTTCTTCTGCTGCATTCATTCGTGGTGTATGTAGTCTCCCATTCCAGGAAGCAGATGCTTGTATGGATTGTGGTTTTGCTGTCAATTGCCTCTGTTACTGTGGAAACCTTCATGAATATTCAGGTTTGTTTTAAATCCACTGTCATGTACATGTACCTGCTACAAATAGAAGAACTGCATGTACATGTAATTTGAGTTTGTTGGTTTCTTTTGTCCCAGAGTACCAGAATGTGGGTAAAGGATAAAAGATGGGGTTTTGTGTCACTTTTAATACAGTAAGCGTGGTTAATCTGCTTGGTTGATGACCCTCTGTTTTGACTGTTTCTACATTACACGCCCAAAACCAATGGCCTTAGTAAGCTGAAGTCTGTCTACCAGTAGCAAAGGTGTTGGGTGCATTTTGCCAGTAGCTTGCCACTGTTTGTCTAGATGTATCCATTTATATGTAGCTCTCTTTTGTCTCAGTGAAGGAGGTATTTGTACACAGGATGTAAGTTCGATACATTCAAATTGTGATGATTGTTGGCTTTAGAGAAGAAATACTTGCCTTGCCGTTTTACCACATACATGTACATTTATCATTTGCACCCTTACTTGTGCTCACCTGTTTTGTTTGTTGTTATTACACTTGCAAAAGTTATGAATGTAAATTAAATCTGAAAAAGCCAGTGAGGAAGATAGCCTTCCATTTATGGACCTTGATTCACATGCACACTGTTTCTTTATTCAATCTCTCCAGGAGCGCTATATTGCTGAAGCGCATGGTGGAACTATGTGCATTTTGATAAGCTCTCTGCGTCTCTTGTGCTTTGGTATGGAGTTCTGCTGCAACACTACACCAGAGAAGCCCTTGACTGGCTACAACATTTATGATTTGCTTCTCTTCAATTTCTACTTACCAGTGTTTCCATATGGGCCAATTGTAGGGTATGATACATTCCTGGTCCAGGTGAGTACCAGTGCGAGGGAACATGTGACTTGCCGTGGACTAATCATGGACCCATTGCTCAGACAGTTGTTTGATTTGTGGTCTCTGGTGAAAACCTTTCATTTTCATAAAAGTCTTAACATGTCTCAGGACTTCTGACAAGCTGCCTCTCTGAGGTTAACCTCATCCTGGGGCCAACATTTCCAAATTCATCTTAAGCAGAATGAATTGAAAAGAGACCAGTCAATTTTTTTCTACTGGACAAGGAGAGAATTTCTGGTGGCATTTTTATTATAAATAAATGTCATAACGGGAATGAAGATATTATGTGAACTATATGTGAACTTACATAGAGCAAAATAAGTGATTGAAAAAAAAGTTGTGTGTTAAACCCACATACACAGCGTAATTGGTGAGTAGTTATGTACATGTATGTGCACTTTTGACTAATGTTTTATCACCTCATCCCTCTCTCGAAGCTCTGTTTTTCAAGAAACTTCAGGATGGAGTGGTTTTCAAAGTCGATTATACATATATTTATAATCACAAGTACTGGTACATGTACATGTACATATTAAACAACTGGGTTATAAAACTATGAATCACTTGCAAAGAGTTTTGCCAAAGGTGTGATAAAAGTGGAACAAAAACCCTATGCAAAAAGTGACAATACGTCTTCTTCTTGATCATAGATGTCAATGTGGAGACTAGGTTTTTCTTTAGTGATTTTAACGTTTAACACTTTATGAAGGGTGAAAAAGGCCCAATTCTTTGTTACATTGTTCTCTTTTTGTGGCTGTCACAGATAAATGCCGAAGTCAAACCCCTAACTTGGAGAGAACTCAAGGTGATCTGTAAAGAGTTCATGCGATGTATCACCTGGGCTGTCATAACTGAGAGCATTACTTACTTCCTTTACCTTGGTGCATTGACATATCACCACAAAACAGTGATGACTCTTGGTGCAAGAGATCTCAGTAAGTATTTTCGAACTTCTGTTAGTATGCCATCACAGTCCAAATTGAATGTTACATGGAGTTATTGAAATATTGGCACTCTGCGGTTCTAAAGCAAATGTTGACTTTCTGCTAGTGGGTGGAGTGGATTCAGTGTCACGGTGTGATTAAAGATTTCAACGTCTTGTGCTGAATGGTTGAGAGAGAGAGATACTAAAGGTCCTTGGCAGTTTGTCTTGTACTTAGTGAAGGATTCACTGTGTTAAGATTGACTGTGTTAACCCGAGGCTGTGATGACCTGCATATGCCTGATACAGTGTGGTTAGCCTGCTTGGATAGATCAACCGTGAAGGTTTTCTCAGCCATGAAAGTTTTCTCAGCATTAATTTTCCAGTAATTTTGGTGATATTTGGGCAGATTTGTGCATATGTTTTCTAAATTTTTCTTGTATGAGACCAGTTGTTGATCCCACAGAAGTGAACTTTTGGAGTACTGTGAATTTAACTTAAAGTTTTGCTTGGAACGTGTTGGCCCAAGCTTCCAATACAACACTTTGTGAGGAAAAAAATTAGCCATAAGCCTGACATTTTTCACATTTTACTCTAGAATAAAAAGTATCAACTGCTTCTTCCCTTGTTTGGTACAGGTAGGTGCAGAGTCCCATATATACGCACATGCATGCACACACACCCATGCATAAGGTACATGTTGTACGTGGTTAACTGTATGACTTTGCATTAAAGCTGTATTGTACATATCTTGAAGTGGAGAAAAACTCTGATATCCTTTTGTAGGAATAATGCAAAAGTCACAACTTGGGGGAAACAAAGCCACTTTGACGTCACCTAGACACCCGTAGCAAAGGCAGGATTCACATAAGTATAGACTGCTTAAATCATATGTATAATTCTAAGCCTAGAAAGCATCACAAATTCAGGTATCTCACTTTGCTGGTTTTCTTACTTGCATGCATGACATGGCATACGTGTACATGTATACAAGGCTTACATGCATGATAACATTGCCCACCATTTTTGTAAGTGAAAATACTGAACTATTTTTGAAGCCATGTCACAGAAAAACTCATCATCATGCTTTGTGTTGATCACTTTAAGTTGCATGGTCTTAGCATCACTGCTTATTGAGGATGATACCCAAATGCACGAAGATGGAGAGACCAGTGGCAGGCAATCATAGAGCTCTCAATTCAGCTGCTCTCATAGATGTATGTCGAATGTGCTAGCATTTTGGCTAAACTGTACTAACAAATCAGTTGCCTACCTGACTGCCCTTTGAACTTAATGTAGAAACTTATCTCTTACTTATGGTATCTTGTAAGTCAGCAATCATGATTCCGTACAGAAGATAATTCTCCAGCTTCAAGGCTGGAAGAACACTGAGCAGAAAAGCTTTACATCAGAACATGAGAAAAATGACACATTAACTCATACGAATCACCACAGTACAAATGAAGTTGATCAATGAATATCAGCATTCACAGCAGTAAATTAAACAGGAAGACTGGCTTTTGACAGTAACTCTGAATACCACCAGAATATCTTGCAGAAAGAAATGACAGAAATGCACAAGGAGGAAGAGTCTTCAAAATTGACTGAAACAGTTTGGTTGTAGCCTTCATACACTGTAGAATTGCCAATTGGTAATAGTAATCAACACTATGGATAGACACCTACCATTACTGGAGAGTATTTTACAGACCCATGCAACATAAAACTGCAGAAAGCTTAATTATTGTGGCATATCAACCTTTTCCTTAAGATGACTTTAGTAGCCTTCCTGTAGCGTTGGAGTTCCAAAACTTTGTTCTTTGGTTCATGGTCAGTAAAATCAGGTTTTGTTGTTGATTCTTTCATTATTCTGCAGTGTGAACAATTCTGTAAGGTGATCGTCATAAGCTATCTTACTTGTATCTTGAACTGTTTAAGCATGGCTTTGTATGCAGCACAGAGGATTTGTAGCAATTCACTCATAAACATACTTGTAGCCTTACTACCCCTTGTGCGAAAACAAGAAGATCATCCATTCACCTTGGTGAACAATTTGGTGCTTTTTGGGGTGGCCAAAATTTGGAACTTTTTCATGTAACCTTTTATGGTCTTTCTAAAAGATGAGGCTATTTTTTAGGGCTTTTCACAAATTTTGAAGGAAAGGAAATGAAATAGACCAAGACTGGGACCTTTTCTCATTTCTCCCCTCCACCAATCTGGCCATGTTTGTACCTGAGTTCCTAGTCACAAATGATAACATGTATCTGCATGTCCATAAGCACATAGCCGCTTTTATTTTTTTTGTTTTGTAGTGAATTCCCTGGTCTTGTTAAAGGTACAGTCTATCGTTTGCAGTTATCCAAGACAGAACTGGGGAAATTATTAAAAAGCACACATGTACTTGGTTTAAAGATGGTCTTGGGATTTAACTTACATGTATTATGAAATTATTCATTCATCACAGCGAGCTATTGTTTTGACAAAAAAGGCAAGAAGGCCATTTCAAACATCTGAACATTCTGTTCTGGAATTTAGCAGTTTTTACACACGGAAGCGTTGACACGACACACGCACGTGGTAGATATAATTCATCAGTTCAGTGCATGGCATCGTGTAGTGTAGTTAATGAATGTCAGAATGTGACCTAGATACTGAATTCAGGTAATATGACCTAGATACTGAATTCAGGCAATATGACCTAGATACTGAATTCAGGCAATATGAGAATGGGACCTAGATATTGAATTCAGTTGCAATTCAAGACAAATTTAAATCAAGATCCTGTTGTTTTTGTTGGAATACATAGTATTTACTTTAAGGTTTCATTTTAGGCACATCTGTAGATTTTCAGTTGAGTAGTTGCGTCATAGGAATAGGATGCATAAGAGACAAATGCTGGACTGTACCTTTATAATGTCAGTACACCAGAAGAGCATTCTCCATTGGTCAGTCATGTCATGAGGCCAGGACTGGTATAAACGAGGTAGAAGTAGAACTGAAAAACCTCCCCAGCTGTGGTATCTGGATCACTTCAAAATGATTTCATGATTAAAATGTGCCTGACTGGGTTTGGGTTTGGGTTTTATGGGGGATGCCTTTGCCAGTATATGGCCAAGATGACAGTTCAGGTGTGTAGTTGGCAGAAGTCCTACAATATCCCCTTGTGGGTTAAACAGTATTGATTTTGCATGCAAGAGGCATGTACATTAAAGTAGAATATTTGTCTGTGCATGATGAAAAACTCTGCTTGTAACTGTTGTATTTGAGGCAAGTGCTCAGTGGTGAGCATATTTTCGTCGTGTATTGCTGTTACTTGATGTACTGAATTGTTACTGTTGGTAAATTCTATTTAGGATCATTGCTACCATCTGTCTGATTTTTCCTCTTCAGGTTTGTTGGCGTTGTATCATTTGTTCTTCTTTCAGCTGACAACGTTTGTGCCCTACAGCTTCTCTCGAGTTCTTGCATTATGTGATCGCATTGACGTCCCACAGCCTCCCATCTGTATTCTCAGTATTCACTTTTTCAGAGACATGTGGCGGTGGGTATAATATTCATTCCTATTCACTCTTTTCAACTTAACGTAACAGTTGTGTATTATGTACATGTATATTGTAAAAATGAGGACCTTCTTATGAGTCCTCACAAATAAACAGAATATCTTTAGATTGTCCCAAAATGCCTATATTAATTTTTTTTTACCATGAAAACAACTGATATAGGTTTTGGTTCTTCTGTTATCATTTTTGCCATACTTCTGGCTTTCTTAGGAATTTGTAAATGACATTTGGTTGAGCCAAACTAAAGGTGACATTTTCCTACTAAGGGCAAAATGCCCCACATGGTAGGGTTGTACAGTAAGAGAGGAGCAGATCTAAGTATTTAAATCGACCTTTCCTTTTCCTCATCAATTGATTAATCATTTTCAAATACAATCATATTGACTTTTAGATTTTGGGAGGGTATGGAAGGGCTGCGTAGCACTGTGATCAGAACAACGACAAAAATATAATATCAAATCAGTGCTCTGAAATATGTGATTGCCGAGCTTTCAGTAACTGACTACCTTCTTCAGGGCAAGCAAAATTCACTTCCATAAACGAAAGATGCTTTGAAAGTGGTTTGTTTGCTTTCTTCAAAAATTCATTATCATTGTTCAAAGCATTCAAATCCTAACAACTGATTATTTTTAGACATTTTACTGAACAAAAATTATTTATGAAAAAGAATGTTTGAAAAGTATGAAAATTGCACTTAACATTTGTTTAACAAATTCTAACATAATGCTCACTCTGACACATGCACATGTAATTATAAACTGGTTCCCATACATCTTGTAGACTTGCACTGCATGTTAGCAACTGTTCCAATGGGAACCATGCCACTGTGGAGTAACCAAGTAACGGATCCACCGACCTTCCAGATTCAGAACTGGAAAGAAAATATTATTTTTTTTAATTTGAGAAGTCTCTGATCCGCTGTCCAACAATTTACCAGTATATAAGTGTAACAATTTTTTTCGGTCCCACTGTCTGACTTACGGCGAAGTCCCTGGTCCTCTGCTGCTAGTGGTAAAGGATATCACTCTTTTTTCTTTATTCATTGTTTTTGGGAAAAAACTTGTAGTCTTCCCTTTGATTTGAAGACCCTTATTTGTTTTTCTTGAGAACATGAAAAATACTTCTAAAAATTGTTTTCTGTTCTCTTCTAAAATTGGTTTTAAAAACTCTGAGCACCAACTTAAAAGAAAATGTGAAAATTTGACTGGGCCCTGTCAAAAGTAATTTACTTCAAACTTGACTTGGGAAAAAATGACTTGGTTATACCAAATCCGAAAAAGAAAGTGAATTCGGATTGATTTGCACCTTTCCTATGGCTGGCTCAATGTACATTTTCAACATATTATATATAAAATATCATGCTGCCCTCAGCCACAGTGCTTGCTCACATCATGGAGGATCCTTGTTCCTCCATGGTCACATCAACCAACCTACTCTTCCTTTCATCATTGTCAAAGCTTTCCCCTGTACATGAAAAGCACCTTTGATACTCCATACACAATGCATTACAATTACATGTAGGCCTTGTAGTTACCTAAGCTACACACTGAGATGTGCATGCCAGTGCATTATGATGCTCATGATGTACATGTATGGTAGTTGCATGTGATGACTATGCCAAGCTTAACACAGAGTTGGAGTTGTGCATGAAGTCGCATGAATTTCGGGACCTGAGGTCTGTCTTTTAAAAGGGCAAACTCTAATGCCTAAGATGTAAAATATGTGAAAACTTACCTTAAATGTGCGTTGGATCTGGGGTCCGGGGTCCAAAAAACCTTAAAAATGTCTGCTTACAGATATTTCTTGATGGTAGCTTTTAGGGGCACATGGATTCCAAAAAAACTCAAGTTTTTGTTTTAGGTTAATCAACCTTACACCAATGACATAACCAGTTGTAAACCAAACATGGATGTATTGCGCACAGTAATAAGCCCAACTACATGTACATTTGCCACTGATTGTCTGTGATCATTGCTTTTAACCGTTCCGGCCTACAAAAAATTGTAAAATCCAAATCCAACATCCAATCAGCTGCCCCAAATTAGCGTGAAACCCCCTCCCCCGTGCTCAGAATCCTGGCTACGTCGCTGAGTTACATTGTCTTTCATATTTTGTTGCAGATACTTTGACAGAGGATTGAATATCATGTTTACAAAGTGAGTGTATTTTGTTTTAGAAATTACAGTTGTTGTCATTAATACATGTGAAAGTCTGCATGCCTATGGAGGATCTGCATGTATCTTTCCAAAAGTTGAAGTGCATACCTGTATGTACAGTGCATAGTTGATAAATAATGTCATATGAATTGGTAAAATTACCTAGTGATGACTAGTTAAAAACTAGAAACTTGAAGACAAATATGGAGCAAGTTCACTGGCGAACTTCTAGTTGCTTCATTACCATTGCACATGTGCACTACATACCATACATGTAGAACAGTAAAGCCAGTTACTGAGCCATTTTGTAAATTCTTACCATCAGCAGTATTGTCCCTTTGGTTACACCCTTTGCCATGTTCATGGCCTGTAACCATCTTGCATAATTATTTTCATTTCATCAGTGGTAACACATTGGGGCCTGTTTCCAAATAGTTGACTAACTGGTCTAACCCTGAATTATTGGAGTGATGTTTCTTAAACTATAGTTGTGGTTGCTCAAATCAGTTGTGGTAGCACACTTGCTTTTATGCCTTTTATTCTTATCAAAATTGATAAAAATTCATACTTATTGAATTATCATTCAACACCAATAAACCCAAGAAAAGAGAAGGAAAAAAAGAAAGACTAAGCAAAGCAGAAGAAGATTTACACATATGGTAAATGGGTAATCTGTTGGTAACAGTACAGTGATTTATGAAATTGAAAACATGTTCTTACCAGGTAATACAAGCTGTGGTGATGGGTCAAATAAAAGAGCACACTTGCATGTACGTTGTAAAAGAGCACACGTACATGTACATTGGAAAAGAGCACACTTGCATGT